AAAGGATATATGAAGCAGAGGTGTCTCATTGAGTTCCACCATGAAAAAATTGTACCTACTGGCATTCATGAACACTTGCTAAACATTTACAGAGACCAAACAGTAGATGTGAGCACAGTTGGGCAGTGTTTCAGCCTCTGTTGGTGTATATTTTTATAAGCAGAATATTCATTGTTGATGACTATCTAGAAAGCATTTTGCAGCTGAAAAAATGGTCTAGCCTTCAGTGTTATGGTGCATCCTCCATCTGTTGTAGTTCCCATGGAAATAAATGAGAGGGAGTTTCACTCGAGTGTATGCATTGGGTGGGGATAGCATATTATATTGAATAAAAGTCAGTCTGACATATGCAACAGACTCCAAAAAATGCATTAGGGAAATATGATTAAAAAAAAAATGGCAAAGGTAACAGGATAATTCAAGTAATAATGACAAGGCTTCATCACAGATTTTCAAATAACCAGCAAATGCACAGTGGCTAAATTTTGTGGTAAAAACAACAATGATTAAGATAACAGTCTGAGTAATTTAATAATAATAATCATCATTTTCTGTTATTGCATGAAAATTCTTCATCATTTAACATAAAAATTTTTGAGACGATATTTCTTTTAATTCACAATCAACAAAAACATAGCACCACCAATAAATACATAAGATGGTCCATATTGAATTGAAAGTTTAACAGGAATACGAGAAAAACGAATCTGGAGTCTCATATCAAAAGCAGTACAAAAAATGGGGTTTATAAAATTTGATTTTTGTGATTGCAATTTTTATTACAAGATTTGAGACAAGTAAAATGATGACTCAATTTATTTTGTTTAAATACAAATGAAAAGCCCATCATGACATGTTGCTGAGGAATATTGTTTAGTTTTTAAGTTTTCCAATATGTAATTATAATTTTATTTTTGTTAGATGAATAATATATTCAAATTTGCCTGTTGATTTATAGTAGTGGCAGATGATAATACTGGTTACTCTCTCCAAGCATCATTGATAATTAATCAACTAATTATATGACAGTCTTTTCTTTCAAGTTTTGTCCAATTTATGCAAAAATGTTTGCTTTTGTATGCTTAACACATTCAATATATATATATATATATATATATATATATATATATATATATATGTATGTGTGTGTGTGTGTGGTATGTGAGAGTGTGTGTTTTACAAAAGCTCCTTGAATAATAAATAGGATAGGTTCTTGAAATTTGTTTTCAAATAAAAATGTGGTAATGAACAAATAATAAAAATAAGTATTTCTAATTCTATTGTGGATTCTTGACATTTATTTGTTAGCACTGATGTTGTTTAAGGAAACGCTTGAAAAATGTTATATTCATTCCCACAAGAATTATTTCATCTTTTTCAGTTGATATTCAAACATTTCTGTTATAAATATTTGTATATTTCTTTAATAGTATTTTCTTTTGAGGACAGAAATAAAAAAAGAAACATGTCAATTTATTTGTTTCTAAAATTCTATTTCACTTTAGCAAGAGGAAGTCTTGGTAGGAGCTGAAGGTCCTGATAGTATGCTTGTCAGGATCACTGAGTAACACAAACCATTCCACTGCAGCATGGATGACTTTAGCAAGAACTGAGGGTCCAGATGGTATCATTGTCAGGATCACTCCCTTGTTTACAAAACTGGATAGTTTTCTGTGATTTTTTTTCTAAGCTCATATGCTTATAAATGCATAAACATATTGAAAAAAAAAAAAAAGAAAAGAAAAAAGGATTTATAATCTTATTGTATTTACTTTATTCTTGACATTTGTTTCATTCATTTGCTGATGTTAAAGGGAAAGGTTTTAAAATTATTTATTATTTCAACTCTTTTGGTTGATACTCAAACATTTCTGATATTTGTATGTTTCTTTATTCGTCTTTTCTCACCATTAAAACATATTGAGTTCTAATATGTTCTTATACTTTTCCCATATTTTGCCAGTCTGAACAATGTACATTTCTACAGCTTAGTAAAGCAAAAGAAAGAATAATTTCTAGTTAGAAAAATCCAAACATCATATCTGACAAGTTTGCTCAAATCTCTGAAAGTTCATAAGGGCCTGTATTTAATTTTAGTCATAATAATGTGTTAATAGAAACCTTGAAATTTAAAATGTTTTGTTTGTTTGAAAATAAAACAAAAAATCTCTTCTAATTTCATAACATTTTGCATAGAGAATTGGATCAAATCAAGTTGTTGAATTTTGTACTTTTTCACAGGCGTGAGAAAGGTGTATTGGGAGTTGGACAACAAGAATTTCATTTTGTTTTTGCTATTTCTTGACATTTCCTTCTTTGGAATTCCTTTGTAATGTGATTCTCCTCCTCCCCACAAGGAGAAAAAACAAAAATGAAAGCCCCAAACAAAATGCAAGCAACGGTAAATTTCAGAATGAAAATGCACACAAGTGTTTCTTAAAAATGATTGTCCATGTTCCAAAATTTTAGAGGGCAAAGCACACATAATAAAAATGTCCTATGAATAGCAGATATATTTGTAAGTGTTAGACCCAAGGTAACATTAAATCACAATTGCTAAAGTTAGAATTCACTTCTTTAGTAAAAAAAAAAACAAAATTATTCTTGCTTTTTTTCTTATGTAACAATGAAAAAGTCAAGAAACATGAATCTATTTATTTTGGCTGTTATTAGTTATGGTTAAGCTCATTGATGTCAAAGCTTTTATTGAATTAGACACAATGATTTAGCGTAGTTTAGATGCAGCATGAGACTACAAGTATTGAACACATTACTCAATCATAATTGATCTAGTAAGACAAGATTGTTAACCATTACATCACAGCAAAGCGCCTAGTTGGACACAATATTAATTTTGATGTGCAAATTATACTCATTCATTTTCCATTCTTTATGCAAAATTTTTGTCAGAATATTATTTATCAACGTAATAAAATTAAAACAAAAAGGATTTGAAAACAATTTTTAAAGAAAGAATTTGCAATAACATTTCTCAAAAATAAAATAATGCTATGGTGCAGGTGCTCATAAAATAAAATAAAAAATTAAATAAAATGAAAACAAAAACAGTTTTTTTCTTCTTTTACTAAAGAATGAACCAGTGTACAAATTTCTAAATCAAAGAAAAGTTTGATCAATTTAATTTTGCATTAATATGTAGGCAATGTATTTTTTGACTCAAATTTAAATGAACATTTCTCATTTCTGGCTTTTGTTTCATATCACACACACACGTACGTAATCGAATGATAAAAATGTATAATATCCTCTGTTATGCATTTTGTCTGTTGGTTGATGAAATTGTATATCTTCAGGAAAACAGAAAGAAATACACTAAATAATAGGAAATAATTAAATAAAAAAGTAATTTATTAAGGTAAACTTAATGCCAAAAACTTAAAATTAAGCATTCCTGTAGTTTCAATGTTTCTCATGTGTTATTATAACCAAAATTTGTTTGTACTTCATTCTGTCCCATACATATATACGATTCCATTAATAGAAGCATTATTTAGTCTGAAGAAGTCCTATTGAAGGATGAAACACGTAACAGGAGTTTTTCCATTTTATCATTCAATTATGCACCATTAATCTGACAGAGTTTATACATCATATTCTCACATATATAAATATTTACACTTTTATAAGTATATGTATATAAATGAGTGTCGTATACATACCATATATAGTTGCGTATCACGTGACTTTTAAAAAGCCAATTTTGAAGTTAATTTTAAGGGGGGGGGCTGCATCATTCATGAAATATAAAATTAGTGTATGTACGGCCCTGGTTACACCATTGACCAAACTGTATTAAGTCTTCAAAAGCCGCATGATACATGAGTATATATGGTATATATATGTATATCAGTAAGTATATACTTGGGGAATTAGAGTAGTCAATTTGTTTATCTGAAGTATTTCCCATATCACATTGGACATTTCCCATTTTTCTCAAAATCACTCTTACAAGAAATTATTCTATCAATCTTCTTCTTTCTATGAAAAAGCAATTTCAGGCCTCAAATTCCCTAATACATCATTTGTGTGAGTGTGCATATGTAGTTTTGTATGTGTGCATACATGTATGTGTTTGTATTAGGTGTATTCAAAAGTTCCCAGCTACAATTGTTTTCCAACTGTTTTCTACCTCTAAATAGAAACAGAACTTTTACATACACACGCATGTATGTATGTATAAAAGGATGTACATAGGATTATATATGAACAGATGCAATGATGCTAAGTTGTTAAATAATTAAATGTTTGGAGTGATTTTTACAAGAATACTGCATGTTTTTTATTTGATTGTATTTGTCAGTCCAGTTGATAAGGTTTGTTGGATCTAAAGACTAAAACTGAGTGTTGTAAACATAAATTAAACCACAAATAAATATTTCAGGCAAAACTAATGCAATTAGTACTGAAGTAGAAAGTTACATGCAATAGAATGGAAATTATTGGATTGTATCCATTTAACTGTTGCACATAAATAGGACAATTAAATAAGAATAGAATCCATTTGTTTTTAAAAAAAATCAAATCTAAAACAATCATAATTTTTTTCATTTATCTCAAACCCATCCCATCTGAATTTGAAAACATCTCAAAATATGTAATTTGAAAAGAAGATAATTTTGAAAGCAACAAAATCATTTTTAAATTGTCCCTTTGTAATCTTCTATGAAACAATAATTAGAAAACCGATGTCATTCAAAACAATTTTAAAGACAGAATTGTTTAATTTCATGCTTATAAATTTCTGATTAAAAAGTTGTAACATTTTCTCATAAATACTCATCAACTGTTAGTACAGAAAGCAGCAGGATTTGGGCTTTTATAAACCAAAATTAAAAACTGAAAAATAATTGACACAAAAATGAATTTCTTTTTGCTCCTTTCAAAAAAGATTTTTGTTTGACAGAAAAATTTCACTTTTATATAAGTGTCTCCGATGAAGTAACCCCAATAAGTTCGTTCATTTCAATTTGTTGGCAGCACTACTCAGATTGTGATTTTTCAACATTCTCTTCAGATATTCGTTGATGTTCTTGTTTCACTAATTCTTTCAGTTCATCCTAAAAGGAATCCAAGCAGAAAGCAAAAATGACTTTTGTAATAATCAGGATAAAACAGGATTTACATAACAATTGACTTACTGTATTTGATAGCATACCTCCTCCCTGCACATTTTTTTTAATCTCCCAAAACATGGCAACACATATCTCCTGTGTATCATAATATAAAACTGATATCTTATAGGCTTCTGTTTACCTAAATACAGTAGGTAAATTCTGATCTATATTGAGTTCATAATCTACATAAAACACTGTGTATATGTAACAAATTTCACAATGATTCTAAGTAGATGGTTGGGGAATGAGACTTTGACTCCTAGGCCGAGGTGCTGATCCTTATCTAAATAATCTCATTCTGAAGGCTATTCTGCTAGTGCTGTAATACTAAATGTAAATGGTGGATCTTTTATATGCCATCAAATATGATCAATTTTATGTAATTAGGCTCTGTACATAGATGATATGATAAGCAAATGAAAGGAGGTTTTAGGAAAAAATAAACATCCTTGTTGTAACCAAAAAATCTATTCATTTTGTATAAATATTAACTGGATGATACTAAACCAAAATTTTTTAAAACATTATTCTGTTACTTAATTTTTTTTTTGTTTTAGATAAGCTTAAAAAATACTATAATAAGAAAGAATAAAACTAACTGGTAATAAAATAAAAAATTGTGAAAATGTTTTATCAGAAAAATTTCAAATACAGCAAGAACTTCTATAAAAATGAATCCACATTTTATCAGGCCAATTTTGAAGAGAAACATATTTACCCCAAAACCAAGTAAATCAGCAAGAGCTTGACAACCATCATCACAAGTTCCTTGCCAAAATACGTCTCTGTTAAAAGAAAAGTTAAAAAAAAAAAAAAAAAGATTAGAGAATTTTAAAAGAAAGAAATGTACTTCAAAAGTCATTTATGAAAAATCATTGACCGCACCCTGCCCCACAAAAAAAATCTTTTTAATTTACTGTATTTATTTGGCTTATAAAACTTTCCTATTTTCATTTCATATGATGTTAGGCAAGCTTTTCTTTTTCTGTTATTATAGTTTCTTTTATCACAATGCTCAAGTTGTTACCTTGATGATAGTTAAAGTAAGCAGCATGGATTAGAAATAGTCTTCAATAAAATTTGAACTCGCATTCTATATCCTCAGAGCCCATCTAACATTGGCAATGTCTATATAGATTTGAATACAAGACCTTAATGGAACGCTAGAGTGAAAACTATAATCATAAATTTACATCTGATTCATCCATGTCATATTATTTGAGAACTCTTAAGTTGTCTAAAATTCTTAGAAAAAAAAAAAAATTATAATGATTCATATCAAAAGTAATAATTAAAATACTTCATCTAAGTAGTTAGACAATTGATGGAAAAGAGAATGATTAAATTATGACACCAAAATGCAACAGAAATATCTTCTTTTTTTTAATCATTTCATTCCCAGCAAGGTGATAAAGCCACTAAGGGGTTATTGAGTGCAAAAGAATATGAGAAGAAAAAAACATTATTAAGGAGAGAGGCCAATAAAAGAACAGAGATTAAAAAACAGAATATAATGATTGATCTTCAAAAATTTAAATGCAAAATGTCAAAGTAAACTAGAAAGCAAGAGTCCAGAAGAGAGTTCCACAGGCAAGAAGTACAAGAAAAGAAACTGTTAGCATAGAACTAATGGTCATATCTAGCAGCCATTTCAACTGCAAAATCATGCAACCTAGCTGCCAATCTAGCACTGCGCTTAAATATCTGATTAAAAATGAAATTTTATTTTTATTTTTTTTTATGGTCTCAAAAAAGATGACTATTTAGTCTTGTAATTCTGTGATAATGGTTTGCAAAGAAGAATGTTTGCAACGATGCATGGGGTAATGCTAGGTTGCAGCCTTTTTTTATATAGATGCTCTGAAAGTAATGCCTTTTATTTATTTCCATTGAAATTACAAAGGTTTCAGGAAGCACAATAATACAATTGAACAGAGCAAATTTTCATAAATACAAAATTTATTTTTTCTAAATAGCCATCACCATTTTTCTTAACAACAAAGTGCCTGCACTTATAAAAACCTGCACTGATGCTGGTAACCTACTTTTTCACACACATTATTATAGTCAATGGTGAAATATTACTCACCACCTAACTTTATTCACATGCATTGTTTGGTCTCAGTAATAATTTTCTATGAATGACAAAGAGAGCAATTTTTTCTATATTCAATGCCATGTATCTTCTTTGTATGTACTTTCATATCAGACACCATTTTGCCAGACTGCTATTCAATTGTAATCTAGAAAAGGGGGTACAAAATATGGATTATTGGTGGGATGGTGAATCTTCTACTGTCATATCACCAACATCTGCCTCTGATAATGTGAACCAATATAATAAAATAAGAAGAATTATTTTTTGAGAAATCTTTGTAAATTCAAAGTGAGAGTAAAAAACAAGCAATAACAATAGAAGCTTGGGTCACAAACATGTCTCATTGCAAACAAATTTAATGTACAAAAGCCAGTAACTATGTGGGGTGGGAGTATCGTCAGGAGAGTGTCAGCTGCAGTGTAGCTTTCAGTCCATATGCATTCCTGCTTGAATTCACTGTGCCTTCTCTTGAATTTCATTGTGTTTTGTGTTTTTTTTTAAATAAATTATTAAATAAGGCACCATTGTGCCAAACAAGTATAATGATAGCAGCAAAGGGAAAATAAAAATAACTAGAATCATGATAGAGAGAGGAAGAAAGAAATCATAGCCAAACATGAAATTGGTGTCCATGTCTCTAGTCTTGATATGGTAAAAATCAACATTCTGCTACTATACTAAAAAATAAAGAGGCAATTGTGTTTTTATGAAAGGGAACTTCCCCTTCCAAATAATAACATGTCTCCCCTTCATCACCACCTTCCACTTACATCATCAACTCCCCTCCCCTGTGCAGGTACGGTAAAATTAAATTAAGTTTTCTTCTATATTCTATCTGTGTAGTATTATTTATGTTAGATTTAATGATTTTGTGTATGAACTCTTGTAAAAGTTTAAATAAGCAATCATTGGGGTCCAAGAACAGATTAATTCATTTTATATTGATTCCTATGAGGATAGTAGTTTTGAATCACAAACAGCTTTCAGGAATGAATTAAATTTGTGAACTGAGGTTTCACTGTATATTGAAAATGAAATTGTCCACTGAAATCATCAACAACAAACCTGTAGTTCTTTTCACTCTCAAAATCAAAATCTGGTTGTCCTAGCAACATAGACAAGGGATCACTCTGAAAATTTAAAAAAAAAAAAAAATTAAACAATTATGAATGTGCTCCAGTGAATAAAATTGTTCAAAATCAAAATCAATTTCGGAAAATGATAAGAGCAAATATTAAAACAATATATGAACAAAAAGAATGTTAAAAGAATTCTGAAGAAAGAGAGCAGAACAAGAAGCAGAAATTGGGAAAGTTTGAAGGAGGAAAAATTAACAAGAATTCACTTCAGCAAAAAGAAAAAAAAGATGGATTAAAGCCTGTATCCAGAAAATCAATTTTGTCCATCTCCATTGTGGAAATCAACCAATGGTGAATATGAGAAAAGGGGGGGAGGTTAAAATCTTTTAAAAAATCCAGAAACTCTGGCTAAACTGACAACAGCAGCATAAAGTAATTGTAATTAGTGAACAAAACAGACAAAAGAATTGAGTTTTTGCTTCATCTACACTTGGCAAATTCTTATTTCAGTTCAGAGTCTTTGAACAGCAGTTTTATTTTTATTTACATTTTTTTTGGACTATTCATTTTATTTTAAATGGAACTTTTGGCATATCCAAGTTATTAGAGAGGGCAAATTATAAATAGAGGTCAGAATGAGAAGACAAACTGAAAATAAAGAAACAATGAAGAGCTTATTCTTTTTTTTTCTCACCTTCCCATGATAAACTCAAGAGATATTCAAACTTATACTCTTTGTAGACAGGATTTATACACATACATTTCTCTCACTCTAAATTATTGAAAAATAGAACATATATATGTATATATGCAATTCCATATAAATATCTTTTTATTCACACTTTGAACTCTTTGTTATATCTTATCAGTGTTGTACGGGTGCCACATGTACTGCAGACATAGTAGCAGTTGTGTGGCTAGGGTAAGATAACCTGATAGAGCCCATTTATCTTCAGGTTGCTTTTGAATTCAGAGGTTTCATTCTAGAGTGATCACCATCAAAGGCTAAATAACTGTCTGCCATGCTATTAAGCCCTAGCTAGGAGTGGGGGGAGAGGAATAGATTCATACCTTTCCAAGGATATTTGTGAGAAAGTGAACACAACTGCCTCAGTTGGAATTTGAACTCAGCATGCCAATCCCACTTTCTGAACTGATAACCTCTACACTACACAGGCATGCAACTCAAACTTATCTGGCAAATATTAGAATATAATTGTTTTTTCTTTTTATAGTTCTGGTATGTCTTTACTCATAGGTACATTGAACAGTGACCAAATGACTAAAGAGATCAAAGTTCTAGCCATGATAGTTTGGTAAAGCTGGCATTCAATCAAAACTTTTATCAACAAAATACTTTCATGATTGCAGTAATTTTAACTGTATGAAACCAGAATAGACATTGCAATCAATATAACACCAGACCATCAAAGATGCCAGGTGCATCAGCAGGTTGACCCGAGATGTGACCTCATGAAAGTAATGAAAGAATCAAGTCCATTTACTCAGAACCTTGTCTTCATTACATAACTAAATACAGCATTTCTTTACTTAATATCATTATTTCCATTCTTTCCTCAATTACAATGTAAATCTTATAAATGCATCCAAGAATAAATTTTATTATCCAATATCCTCATCATTGGTGAAGAAATCAGATCAAATGTGTTGCAAATGGGGTATTCATAGAAACATTCCACCAGCAAAAATGTCTACAATACTTTATTTGATAGCATACAAGATCCATTTACTCCATGAAAAAAATGATTAAAAAAATATTCCCTGGGTCTTCTATGTAAAACTGAGGCATCTGATTGGCTAATAAATATTTAAAATTTGTGTATTTAGGCAACAATCCTTATTTCATGCGCATTTCATTGAGTATGGCATTTAAGGTGCTTTGATTTAGTCTTTTTATACAATTTCTCATGTAATCTAATAATATTTTTTGTGGTGATAAATTATATAAAAACTGTTCAATTGTTTTTTATCTGAGCGCTTTCTTGACCGTGTTTTGAAAATGAAAACAGTATATAAATACATACGACAAACTATTTCTTGTTAACAATTAATATATATATATATATATATATATATATAAAGATTTAAGAATATAATAGTTCAAAAGTATAGTAGATATTTTCATAGTGCTCAATATTAAAAATATTAAAATAATATTAAAAATGGAGCGTTGATAATATTATATACAAAAAAATATTACTTAACTGTAAATATAAATTTTTGATGTTGTTTCCCAGAATTTTGGGGAATTATCCATTCTTCAAGAGGTCGTTGTTTGAATACAAGACAAATAACAGACCCCATGAAGAATGGATAATTCCCTAAGAAACTTTGAAGTCAGGGAAACAACATCAAAAATTGATATTTACAGTTAAGTAATAATTTATCTCTCTCTCTCTCTATATATATATATTGCATGTAAGAGAAATTCAAAAATACCCCATTTGTATAGCTATTTCACCCCACAAGAACTACCTTGCAGGATTTATCAACACCAAGGGGTTAGGAAATAAAATAAAAAGGTAGCATAAAAATTTTAAACTTCAAGGGGGTTTTTGGTCAGACACCAGTTAAAATAATCTTGACCGAAATTTTAAAATATTAACATCTAGTTTCTATAAGGAAAATTACTTAAAGAAAATTCAAAATTTAAAAATTAGAAGATTTTTATAATTATTTTTAAAAAAACATTTAAGAGTAATAATAATACATATAATATTATAATTAAAATAATAATTAATAAAGACAAGTTATTAAGTAAATTTAATAAAAAATAATAGGTAGTAAATATAAGCTAATAAATAAATAAATTTAAACCAATACATAAGTGAAATATAAATTAATTATTAAACATAAATTAAAAATAAACACCATTTAATAAATGTAAATATAAATTAATTCTTAAATATAAGAATAAATTGATATAAATACAATTAACTATTACAAATAATTGTTAAATATAAGTTTTAAATATTAAATCTAAAGTTAAATATAAACTTATAATTTAAATAAAATATTAATATAAATAAAAATAAAATAATACATAAATAAAACAATACATATAGTAAGGACAAAAATAAAAAAGAAATAATAATAATAATAATAGTAGTAATAATAATAACAGCAGTGAAAGTAATAATAATAATAACAAACCTATGTAGGAAGAAGGTTATTTGTTAGGAATGACAAGGAGTAGAAATAACAGTATATGTGTTATGTGATAACAGATTAAGCAAGATCAAAAATATTCTAGATCAGTTTGAACCCATTTCGGTGACGACATTTGGAAACTAACTCATTCCTTTGATTTAGTAGTATACTTTATTGAATTTAATTCTAATCTTCTCTTCTAAACACAGGTTACATCTACCTTTAAAATTACTAGGAGTTTGAGCAAATCCTATGAATTTCCAGTGAATCTGAGGGTTCAAATCTTTCTCCCTCAATTCCCCAAATTTTTTGAAAAGAGTAGTTTGGTGCTTTAATCTAGGGTTGGAAAAAGAGTGTCTATGGTTATAAAGTCTTTGTTTCCATTCTCCCACAGAAATCCCAATGTAAAAATGGTGGTTTAACTTATTTTCTTTGGGGTAAATGGTTGCTTGGTAAATAACATTAGAAGTTCTGAATTTTCCTTTGACTGGACAAAGTTTGCTATTTCTACAATTACAGGGGTATCCATATTAGGTTTATTGTTGATAACATTGAATTTGTATAGAATATAATTATTATAAGAGTTGATTATTTTAAACATATTTTTTGACAGGAATAACTTTCCAACCCAAGATTAAAGCAAGTGATTGTCTTGAAGCAAGGCAATCACTTAATAGACAAAGTTATCTGAGTGCCTCACATGAAAGTCTTGAACAAATAAGACTGCAATCTAAGAAATGTAGGTGTAAAGGAACTAATTAATTAAAGGGTTCATTATGCACAGGAACTAATTTTGTCTAAATGCAGATAAACATTTGTATAGTTCATTAAAATGACTAAGGGAAGTAATCACTCATAAATTTACTAAGTTGATTTATCTTGCTTTCCATTACAAACAGGACAGGAAATATCTAAATAAATACACATTGATAATTATTATATGGTTTCACTTTAAAATTTATAATACTAGAAGCGTCATAAAAAGTCTGTTTTATATCTTTTATGGGTCCTGATTCCAAATATTAATTCTAATTATGTTTTGTTTACAAATGTGCATGAAACAAAAAAAAAATCCAATAAAGCTTCAAATCTTTAATGAGAGGCTAATTTGTAGGAAATACCAACTTTTCTTTTACTTTTCAAAAAAGTGTTAACAAAAATATAAGATAATTCAGAATCTTTACACAATTTTCTTGATGCTTTTACTCATGAATCAGCTTTAATATTTCAGTCAGTAATCTATATTCTTTCTGATTGCCATGAGTAGCACAATTTCCTCTTTCAAGATACGATCATTCCAGATTCGTCTGTAGCCTGATATGTTCAGCTATCATTGATGATTTCCAACTCTAACCATCTTCCATAGTAAATATAAGGATTCCCCTTAATCTCTCAGCAAAGATAAGCTCATCTCTGCAACTGTAGACAATCATTACTTTGTGTGTGTGTGTTTGTGTAATCAAGTTACATCTTATCTCAAAGCTAGTAGTACTGATTCTAAGTATGTCTTATTATTAAGTCTTTTAATGTTTAGTAAGTATATTTAATGACTTGTGATTACATACTGAGAATATCACCAAGTAATTATGACACTTGTGGTAGCTCAGTGGTACAGTGGTGAACTAGAGGTCACAAGGTATCAAGATTCAATACTGAGTAAATTATCAGTTATCTATTATACCTTTTAAGGTGACTGGAAAATTGGGGTATACTAATTAAAAAAGAAAAAGAAAAAGAAAAAGAGAATTGAATTGTTGGACTAAATATCATCTTTTGGTTTTTTTTCCCCCATCACAGAAGATTGTTCTGACTGAGATGAGTTGTTAATATTTAATGAATAATTCTGAAATTTAATCTTCAAAAATAAATTGGTTAAAAATGTGATAAAAAAATAGAAAAAAAAAAAACATAATAATAAAAAATATATAATAATTAAAATATTTCATCTCTGAAATTTAAAACAACTTAAAAATATTACAAGAATAAAGACAAGTCTTTTTGTTCAAGAAGCGTTTGGTTTAGTTGATCTTATGTGGGTTAGGAATAAATTAATACAAAAAATGAAATAAATGTTGATGAAAAATCATCACTTATTGCATGTTTTTCCGTAATAGTTTTTGTGTTTGTTTTCTTATCTCTAACATATATTTTAATCCTACCAAGATCTGGGCAATGGATTAAAATTTGGTATAAGACCTGAATTAGTTTTGTTAGTGGGAAATTGGAGAGAAAAATGGTATCAAAAAACAAAATGGAAAACAAAACTGAAGTACAAGATATAAAAAAAAACAAAACTTGGTCCTAAACAAACATTTTGTTAATATTATTTAATATATAATAATAATGATAATAATAATATTATGTATTTTTTTTCAAATTTTATTGGTGATATTTTTTTTATCTTATGTATCATAAGAAGTAAACAAATAAACAAAAAAAAATGACTTACTGATAAATTGCTTTTGTCCAAGTTTATATACAAACGAGGAGCAGTACCGGAAACTCTGGAAATGGAAAAGAAAAAAGGAATTAAAAAAAAATTACATGCGATAAATGATAAAAATGCAAAAGTTACTTCTGTCAATAAAAGTTACAAGCAGCTCTAATGTTATTTTTATCTTGTTTTGGATTGAAAATTTCTGAAAGAAATATTGGTTTAAAGCTACAGTTTGTCTGGAATGTTGATTCCTATGTGATTGTTGAAAGTCCACTATTCTACACTTTGAACAATACTTTTGGCTTTTGAAAATGTCGTATTTAAGAGAACTCGGTGAAGAGTTGAGAAAATGAATTCTGATACAAACTTGAATTCTTTAAGAATAAAAACACTTTCAAGGAATCTTTTTATGTAAATCTTTTTTTTAAAGAACCACTTAAAACAATTCTGATAAGTTTGGTGTGAGTATATATATATATATATATATATATATGTATTAGTATAGTACCCATAAAAAATGATCGTATTATGTATTTAGATTTTAACTTCTGTTTCAAAGTATCTATGTGTTCTGATCAGGATCAGTGTAGTATCTGTGTACTTTATGAAAAGTGTTATATACAAGTATATATGGATGCAAAATGCTTTTTATACAGTTTATTTTTTATTTTTATATGATAATTAATGTGATATTTCTACTTTTAAAAATTTTGAACAAAATGTAAAAGTACAAAAAATATCTCAATCTTGTATCTGTAGAAAATAGTTCAGAATATATGCAGCTGCCATTTTGATTATCTTGGACTGGTTGTACAGCCTTGATACAACACACCCAATCAATGGGGATTTTACTGTCACTCCCCTTTGTTTCAATTCGAAATTAAATGCCACTGATCAAGCAAATAGATTCTTCATGTCTTATATATTGGGAATTTTTTTTATTATTATTTTATTTTTCTTCTCCTTGACACCAAAATTTGTAATGTCATGTTAGATATTAGAGTGAATGGAAATTTTTGATATATTACTTTAATAAGTTCTACTTATGATAGCATAAGTTATGTAAACAGTATTCATATAATCTTAATCAAACCTATAAATGACTGGATGATGTGCAAAGCTGAGAAGATTAATTCACTCATTACCTAAAAAAAAATATTATTTTGTTAGTGCAGAAAATAATACTAAATAGGAGAGTAATGGTAAAATTAGTGGGCATGTTAATTCATTCCCTTTCCCACCAAATACTTACAGCCAGAATTTTCTGTGTCACTATCAGTATTGTCATTACAGTGAACAAAATTTTGTTATACTTGTTTAGTAAATTTTACTTGTGATATCATGGGTAGGATAAACAACTTGATATAATAGCAGATCAATGTGGTTATTAAAATAGATTATTGCATCAAAAGACAATGAATGAATAAAGACACCTGACTATGTCTATTAGATGAAAAAGATGCATGACTGGAAGTAACATTATTTAAAGCATTGTCAAGATAATTTTGTTTGTTATGAAATATTGAAAGGTTTTTGTCTTACTGAGACACAAGGGAAGCAAATGGCTGAACAGTCAGAGATGTTCCCATAATGATAAGCAAATCACATTCCTTCAAATCCTATAGAAAGAAAATAAAAATAAGACATTGTGATGAGGTTGAAAAGATCTTGTGAAAAAAAAATTTACAAAAAAAGATCTTCATAATAGGCATTTTGATTTGATGTTTTCTGAAAGAGATAACAAGAGATAAAATGAATTCTTATTGCAATAGACTTGCATTAGAGGGAGAAAAGTATCAACAGTCAGCAGGGTTTTATATAAGAAGGATTTGTAATCAATTATACATATAATAACTTTATTCTTTCAACAATACTTGCATTAATTCTTGATCACTGACAGTTTATTTCTTCCTGATAGAAGAAAATTCCTGATTAACATTCAGGAAATTTGTAAAAACAAATTTCTGTGGAAAAAACAAAAAAATTGCAAAATTCGGATTGATTAAATTTCATTATTACACACTCTTGTTATAATGATTTTCATTTATTCATAACTTTGTGATTGAAGTTTATCTTCTTTTAACAAGGCAACTACAATAACAAAAATTAGATTACAAGGGGGAAAAATATATCCTTTGCACACTATAATTATGCCTGTAAACTTAATATTGTCTATAAAGTTATTTTTGTAGAAAATAGGTAAGTATTAAATGATTAATATTTTGAATTATTATGTTGGATAAAAAGGTTATACACCATCACATCTACTGTTATTATACCCCTACCACCTTACCACACAACTCAAAGTATATAAAAGATAGTACTACTAGAATAAAAATACAGATCAGTTTATTGAGTATGATACAAAATTTGGTATTAAGAGTATCAGTTAAGATTATGTGTCCTGTAACTCATTAGGGGCACCACATATAGAAGTGGTGTTTCTTGGGCAAGATAGCCTGATAGAGTTCAACTCTCTCCAGCCTGGTTTGAATTCAGAGTTTTCCTTGTCCTAAACAAGTTGCCAACTCAAGGTTATAGAACCCAGCCTGTCTTACTATTTACTCATACCTGGGTGGAGAAGAGGATTCATACATTTCCCAAGGGTTATTAGCAGGTAAGTGAATGTAATGAATTTAAGTGGAATTCAAACTCAGCTCTTTGATTCCTAAATCCGTGCTGCAATCCACCTTGCCTCAATTAAGATACCAGAATACTATTGTATGATAGTGTGCAATTAGTACAAAGCCCATAATTAGTTACAATGGAAGCACAAGTACAACTGAAGTGGCCACTATATATATATATATATATATATATATATATATATATATATATATATTTATTTATACAATTGATTTATTTAAAAGTTTTGTCCATTGTATCAACCAAACTTCTTCAGTTATAAATCTTGGTAATCTTCTTGGAATTTTGAACCAAACGTTTTATTCAATTCATGGGGGGGATTGTTCTCATTCTAATGTCCATACTAGAAGATATTTTGTACTTGTGATATTTACTTGTTTCTTCCACTGTACCATTATACACACATATATATATATATATATATATATATATATATATATATATATATATATATATATATATATATATATATGTATGTATGTATGTATTACTCAGCATAGAAATAGAACTCATGACTGCCAGGTAAGTAAATCTGATTAACCCAAACATTTACTCACTAGACCCTGTGACTGTAGGACAATTCATTGGTAGAGACTTAAGCCTAATGTTAACTGACTGCCTCTTCAACAGGGCCATGGTATATGACCTATACCGTGTAATTAGAGGGTGGGAATTTTGAGTCTCAGGCCTATGGTGATATGTACTCCATTTTTGGCCTGATCTGGTTCTTATAAAGGTAGGGAATAGCATGAAGAGTCAGGTACATACTGGCACAATTATTTTACCTGCATCTTTAGTGATAGATTATATATAGAAATTCCACTTTGAGTATGAGTTTGAGGCATTGGGCCTCCTTGAGGGGACATCCATTCAGCCTGACTGATGGTAGTTCAGGGTCTGATCGGTGGTGATATAACCAATTTGGTTTTCAAGGTACTGAATGTAACCAGCCAGTCCCCCACCCCAAAAAAAGGTTAGTGTTAGATCAAAAGAGAGGTCAGCTGCCAATTTATGAACATCAAGGATTTTAGAGGTATGCCCTTATATTGTTGTATTATTAGTATAAATGTTTACAAATGATTCTTAAGTAGATCATTTATGTAAACCAAAAAAAGAGGTTTGTTTGAGAAGTGATCATGGCCTTGGAGTACTACAATACTGAGGCTTTTTAGTGGTTGAGGTTTTTGATAAGTCTAGAGACTTCTCTTGCTCAAATGAGTATATTACTGAGGTTGTGTTCAGTGAGACATGGGAAGTAGGGAAAAGGATGGTCTTTGTCATCTAACATTGGGTTTAAGTCAAAGATCTTCACTTTATCTATCGAGGATATGACCTTGAAGCCATTTATAATGGTGGGCATAGCTGCTTTGCCTTCATTCATAAGTTGGTTGGTGATCTTCCAGAATTTCTGAGGTCCAGTTTATTTCTTGTCCTTGGCCTGGACACATAACGCATAGCTGCACTTTGCATTTTCCAGAACTGCAGGCACTTCCAAAAGAAGTAAGGGCCATATTACAGCGCTACATGCAGTACATTTAAGTAGTGGTTCCGGTGAGCTACAGCTGCAGTGCATTCAGGGGTGAATCAAGGCTGTTTGGTTTTTGCTGGAATTTTTTATGGGGTATAAAACACTCCATTTCAGAAAGGATCCATTCAGAGATTAGGACAGCAGTTTGGGGGAGGAGTTTCTGTCATATAAGACTGAAAGGTGTCCCAGTCTGTCTCTGCATAGTGAAAAACCATTCTATGGAATGCTAAATCAAGGGATGCCACTGGTTTGGGGTCAATCTGGACACTGACTAGGGAATGATCTGATGGGTCATTGGAGACTAGAACTTTTGCTGAGTATTTGTCAAGGCAGGGTGTTAGAAAAAGGTTGAGATTTGCCTGCTAGGCAAAACTCCTCAACCTTTTTCTAACAACCTGACGTATCTGGGGCTTGGGTGGTTTCTTCAATAATCTGGCTTAGTTCATATGCGACGGAGAAGTCTCTGCAATATCTGCCTTCCTCATTGGTTTTGTTAGAGTGGACTAACTACTCTTTGTGGTGAACATTGAAGTCACTGCATGTGTGAAATTTGGCTGAGGGATATTCAATGAGAGTATTGCCAATCCTCTGTGATATTCGATTGAAGATTACCGACTTTTTGTCCTGAGCATGATACAGGAAACATCCATAATAATTTTTTTCTTTTATCCAGAGAATAATACTATAATATACTATTTCTTTTAAAAAATATTTTTGTGTAATCAAATGAATAAATTAGAAACAAATCATACTTTCATCAGTGATAAGATTATAAACATGACTTCAATTTTTTTTAATTATAGAAAGAATCTTTTCTCCAAAGAAAAAATAAGAGACCCCTCCCTCCTTTCAAGGCAGATGCTGACGCATATGGCCTTCTGTAGGGAAAATGGCTAAAGTACCTTCAATGTAAAAATATCTTGAATATATTTTTTTATGTAGGGTGTCCAGCCTTATGATAAAATGTATCTGATGTGGCAAATTGTTTGAAAAAGATTGTCCATAAAGTATCAACTGATGACTAAGGAATTTTGTTGTTTGATTTTGCATAAAATGAAGAATTTTAATTCCCATTTTACATTTGGGTTGATTTACATTATGATAAATATTAGTTTACAATTTAAATAATGTTTTTTTCTTTTCACAGATAAAATATTCTAATTTTATTCCTTTTTCTGTTTTATGCCAGTATATATATATTTTTTTTACAAAAACTTTCTATTTTTACTTAAAATAAATGTGGGCAAGAGATCATTTCCTATCATCAAGAATTTATTTGGAATCTCAGTGCTGTATAATGATTCTTGCCTCTTGTTTTAGAGAATATCTAAAACATCAATCAAGAAAATAACATAATCTTTCTTATATAAAAAATATATTGTTTGGAAAATAATATATTTTCATGAAAAAGCAGATAAAAAAAGATGCAAATATTTTTTTATTCACCAATGACAATTTCTATTATGAGCAGTAATAAAAGCCCAACAAAAAAGGCAATGATTTATTCTTGGTCCTGAAGGTTTTATTTTTTTTTATGAGAAGCCATCTGAGAGATATGAATTCACATCTTATTTCTTACTGTCCTGACACTAAAAAAAAATGTTCTTGTGATTAGAACAAAAATAATTGAATGATATTTTGCCCTAGTGAGTAGAAACAATAAGGATAAAGATTTTCTCAGCTTAATGACTTTATTTTCTCTTGACTTGCTGAGGCCTTGTTGTATCATGCTGCAGAAGGACACTGCTTTTGTTCAACAAAGCTATACTTTTCTGTTGCAATGTATCATTGATACGCATGAATTGTTGGCAATAAAGATCTGAGGAGATGTAGCTAATGTTGGACAACAGTTGTGATGTTCCACCAGAAAGAAAAACCTTTTAAAGATGATGTCCTTCTTTGGTGGGAGTAGACTAGAATATAATGATAGCAACAAATGTAAAAAGCTATGGTAAATATGTGTTACATATTTCTTGATCTAGAATGTTAATTTGTTGTTGCATTCAAACATAAAAGAAATTTACCTGAATATTTTAGATAAAAGACCAGAATGGTAAACAATTCATAAACTGAGAGAACAAATTATTAAACACTTTTTAAAAATATTTAATCTTAACACATTATTCCTTTTAACACTTTAACTGCTGCATTGTTGTCTGGCTATTCTGGCCTATTTTGGGGAAAAACAAGAAATTGCTATTTTACTGGAAATTTAAGGATATAAAGAAGATTATTTCTAATGGGTGCTGTCATTTTGGTTTTGATAAAACAAAAATCCAAACAAAAAACAAACTAATGGGAATATAGGACAAAAGAAAAGTGAAAACCAGTCAAGAAAATCAAAATCTTTGCCAAACTTGATCAGGTAGTATACTGCCTGTGTGTCTTTAAAAACAGAAATGGCAAAGCATGTCTACATGAGTTTGTAAAAATCACAGAAACACA